AAAAAAAAAAAAAGAAAGAAACTATCTTATTTACCCAGCAGGGAGAACAAACAGATATTCAACTTTGATATATTTTCTACACATCTTCCCTGTCTCTCTCTCCCTCTTTCTCATCTTTCTCTTCTATATCTCTCAAATATCACAGAGAAATAGTTCAAAGATTACCCCTGTTCCTTCTTCTTTCTAATGGGGTAACTTCTATCAGGAAGACTATACAGAAATGTATTACAAAACAGTATACTGTATTTGTATTTTGACATTTCTCATAAATAGGTCATGTTGTATGTATCATTCTCCCACTTGTTTTGTTACATTCAATGCTTTATTTTTAAGATTCTTCTAAGAAAATATGTATTGAACTACTTTTTTTGTTTTTAACACTACTTTGTATTCCTATTATATGAATAAATCACTATTTTTCCATTCTACCACAATCGATAATAATTATTTTGTTAAAATTTCTGTGGTGAGCATCTTTGTAAATTTCTTCTTGTTTACATATTTGAATTTCTTTAATGTTGATATCAGAAATTGGAATTGCTGGACTTTTAGACATTTATACTTTTTTTTGCTAGTGAGGTAAACTCATCTCCCAAAGATTGTTTTTCTCCATCCGAACAAGTATGAGTCCCCTTCTCCTTGAGTTCCTGCCAACACTTAATGTTATCAGATTTCATAATTGCTGTTGATCTGATAGAAAAGAAATAATAGCATCTTAAAATTTAATTTCCTCTGATTTCTAGGGAGATTGATGCTTACCTGTTCACTGTTGTTTTGTTGTTATGCTCCATTGAGTTGGACCCGACTCATAGTGACCCCACCTGTTCACTAGCCATCCTTATTTCCTCTTCTTCAAATTGTCTTATATCCTTATCTGTTCTTCCCCTCCCCCCCCCCGCCCTTACTGATTTGTAAGAGTTCCCTATCTAGCCTTAACTTATAATCTTTTTTTGGTTATATGGTTTACAAATACATTGTAGTCTACAGCTTGTTTTTAATGCTTTACTGGGAGATACATGCAAATTAAAAATTCCCATTTTATTACTAATTTTATAAGAATTTTTTAATTTAAAATTATTCCTGTAATGACTGTAAATTTATTTAGTTTTCATTATCTTCTCTCTCTTTTTTTGAACATTTTATTGTGCTTTAGGTGAAATTTTACATAATGAATTAGTTCTCCTATTAATTATTCATATATTCATACACAAAGTGTTCCATGACATTGGTTGAAATCCTCTCAATGTGTGAATCTTTTTCCTCTCTGGGTTCCTTGTTTCCTTTCATCTAGTTTCCCTGGACTTCCTGC